GCGACAAGAAAGTTGATATTCTATTTAAATATTATTTTTTTATAGAAAACGGCCAATAAATAAGAGTTGATTATTTCTTGTTTTATAAAGTTAGCTATTTAAACCTATTACTTATGTTATGTATAAAATATATATAATTGTAACAATACAGGTTTTTGAGTAGTGCCCAGAAATGATAAAGATTACAAAGCGTGGCTAAAAGGTCTACTAATGAAGCATCCTATTCACAAAATAAAAGCACCGTGTAAAGCATATCGTTAATGTGATCTATGTCGATGTATATCTAATGGTAGTCAAAAGTTTGGTTTAAACCTTTTGGAGAGATGATATTCAACATTGCCGACTATACATAGATTTTGATTCATTTATTTATACACTTTGATGAAAATATTAATAACACTATCTCAAACATAAAATTATCATTGGTAATATAAAAAAAGACTCAAGAGTCCATGTATTTTCTTGAAATGAAATTTACTTTAATACTCGTATACAAAAAAGAAACATTTTCATGCATTTTTCTGTATTCATTTATCATTGAAATAATTGATAATTAGATTTCTTCGCGGTAAAGTTTTCTTGTCACTTCTTGTCGCTAAAGTAGTCTTCTTGTCGCTAATTAGTGAGCCCCCAAATATGTTTTCTTGGCGGGATGATATATTTTTTATACATTATAAACCACATTACTGTTTTACCCTGATTTCATGGATCACTGAACATAGAAATGTCATAATGTGAAATTATAGTACATTCTCAGGTTAACGTTTTTGGTTAAGGCACATAGTTTACCATGAAATTGAACTTAGTGCACATGTTTATTATGTGATGAAATTTTAGATTCAATGCCAAACAAAGATTTTGACCCTGATTACATGATTCACTGAACATTGACACATGCTAGTGCCAGACGGGCATGGTGTTCTGTACTTTGAATTTTGATATAACCCACTGTCAGAGTATAGAGTTTTTGTCAATGTTTAATAATAGCGGGGTAAACTTTGCACGACATCCTGGCAGCTGCTTGTTAATCATATCAATACATTATATCATAATTAATATCTTCCACATTGGTGTTTTGTGAACTTTAAAGTAAGTTATTTGATAGAATAATGATGTTTTGAGATTTTCAAAATCAAAGGGGTTTAAATTTCCTATTTTTACTATTAATAATTCATATTAAAAAAAGATTTAGGATGCATGTATAAACATATACAAATGAGACAGCAACCAAACAACACAATAAAAAGAAGGAAAAAAAAACAATATAATTTTTGTGGCAATGTTATAACATCCAAAAAATTAGAGATATTTTCTCACTGAAGTAAAAAAGAAAAGTTGAACTTTTACAGAAGCTTGAAGTATTGCTGTTTCTGTTGTTGACATTTTGTATAATTTCAAATTCTTGTGAAAAATGAAATATTATTGTTATTTCATCAGTTTATAATGAATTGAAGTTTTAAATACCAATAGACATGGAAACCATAATCATGACAATGTTCAGACTATGCTGAATAGCCCAAAAATGGACAATACATTATCATCAAACAATGCTGCATGACAGGAAAGACAACAGAAATTTATTAAATAATCAGTGGCATTTATTAGCTAATAAAAAATAATCTTTACATATTTTCATACAATTTCTAATAATTCAAATTTAGATTTAAGACAGTATGGTATTGTACAAATACAAAAGTTCAAGCATGAAGTCTTTAATGATAAATTATAATGAGTAGTATCAGGTGTCAGATATGTATTTTTAATCTATTCAATGTGAACATTTTTTACCAGACTTTTTAGAAATCTATTGACATTTCACTTTAAATTTGAAATGAAATTGCATCTGTTAAACGTTTAGCAAATTGACCTCAAATAGAATTCTCAAGACCTTAAATACTGTAGTTAAGTGATATAATATCAACTATTCTATGAACTTTTAACAGTTTACTACCAAACAGACTTCATTTAAACATACACGTTACTGTATATGCATAATTTGAATCCCATAGGATTTTATTTGTCCCTTGGAATTTATTTGTCCCATGGGATAAAATAAAACCCATGTTTTTTGAATTCAAATTGCAAAAGAACTTTATAGTCTGGAGCTTTAAAACTTGGTATTTAATTAATTCTATTTTATTCTGCACATTTTGCTTATCTTACTTGACAACATGTCTTTTATTGTGTTTATTGATTACTCACCGTCGCTTTACAAGAATTTGTTAAATAATTTTAAAGACTAAATTTCGGAACATGTATATTTTTGCACTACGTTTTGCTTTCGGTGAAATTTGAAATTGAAATTTCTATAAAGTCCATTCCATCGATTTACACCAATGTATCTTATAAATTTCTTAATATACCCTGTGGTTGTCCTTATATGTATGGTTTAATTGTTCCTATATTCAACAATGAATTGTCAAGCACAATATAACAATGTTTGTAAGTTTCATTGATTGTATTTTTATTTCATTTTATCGTGCATCAATGTGATTCAATTTGCAAATGTTGCATTATCGCATCTGGCACATAACTCAATTCAAACACGTGCATGGGGGATCAAACGTGCAGTGAGGTAGATCATTTGTTTTGAAGGAAGCCTTACTGTGACTCTAAGTTAAAAAGCGGAAATTAAAGCGCTGATCCTTTGCTCAGGGTTTTATGAAGAGCAAGTAAAATTTTGTATCATGAACAGGAGAAGAAAACAGTAAAAATGTCCCCAATTTTATATTGATTTTATTGGAATATATGGCATAAATATCAGTTACATCAGACATATTGTTGCATTTCTTTTAATGGTCTGTATATTTAAAACTTGTTTTAAAAATAAGTATCGATCCATTCCATTCTTCTTAATCCTTTAGACTTTTAGAATATTTCCTTTTTTTCTATTTTTGCCCAATTCCACAAGGATATTTCAATGCACCAAACACTGTTTTGCAGTGGAAACTCAATATTTCGATAAAAAACAAAATAAACTGCAGTTTACAGAAAAGTTCAATTCAAAATATCTGTCAATGTTTATTTTAAATTACAGTATTGCAGTTTCATGTTTGTACTTTTAGGTTCTACCAATCATGAATGCGACGTAATTGATAAACACAGGACCAAATAAAAATAACGGAGATTGGCATATTGAGTAATAGTATCAATCGGTGGTGAAGTTTTAAACTTTATAAGATATCTCATATAGTTTATAAGATATCTTATATAGTTTATAAGATATCTCATATAATTTATAAGATATGTCATATAATTTTCTTTATAAGATATCTTATAAATTATATGAGATAGCTTATAAACTATATGAGATATCTTATGAACTATAAAAGATATCTTATAAAAACTAGATTATATAAGATATTTTATATATTATATGAGATACCTTATATATTATATGAGATATCTTATATATTATATGAAATATCTTGAAGTTAGAATAAATAGTAAAACGGCTCGCCATACATCCGACATAATACCCATAATAAAGACGGATGTTCCTTTGGCTGTGCGGGATGTAAAATAAAAAGCGACGTCGGACCCGAAGTTTGGCGTTACACCCTATATGCCTCGTGCATGTGGAGATGGTGTCGCGCTCTCTGATCGTTTAAGAACCCTGTATAATTGATCCGTGGTTTACCTGTTTCAGGTCAAAATTTGTGACCTTATCCAACATATCCTCTTTTCCACTAGCAATCTGATGCCGCGCCCTTCGTCATTCATTAAAGATCACTTGTAGATTGATTGTTAATTTGATTTGTTGTTAATTTGTTCTCTATGATACACTAATTATGTATTTGATTTCAACAGCAACCAGTAACGTTCTCGGTACCGTTAAAAACATTTTTATTTTATGGACATCTTACAATAAGTGTAGTTGAAAGCTTTAACAATATCTCACCTAATCATTTAAATATTCAAATTCCAGAGGTTTCCAAGAGCTCTCGAAGCAAAGACCAGGGAAAATTGATCATACCTATCTCTATCAGACGAGAGAAACTGTTTTTATAATTTCGTGAAATTATAAAATTATAGCCTTTTTATGAGGTCGATACGAGGATATATCGACCTTAAAGAAGTATATTGACTGTGGACGAAGTCCGAGGTCGATATACTTCTTTAGGTCGATATATCCTCGTATCGACCTCATGCAAAGGCTACAATTGTTATATCATTATTACCAATAAGCCAGAAGTATGTCAGATATTCTAAAAATAACCGTGCAATATCACTTTTCTATCTGCTGATTTCAGTCTACTTTTGGAAGTATAGTTGAACATGTGACTCTTTCGAAAGGATCAAATTAGTTAGAATATACACGATAATGATATTGATTTATACCGTATATATATTGCCTATTAGATTTTTTTCTATTCATTTGATATGCAAATGATTTGTATGTTGTGTAAAAAAAAAAGAAAAACAAAACTCAAAGGTGCTCTCGAGGTCCCAGTTGGGTTGATGTATTTTACGGTAAACTTCATGTTGACTTGAGAGTTCACATGGTAAAAATCCGTGTTGGTCTATTGTGCAACTGAGTTCATATCACAACAACATGCATGTTCTCGTCCTGAATACTGTTTATGACTACCGTTCGGGCATTTAGTCCGAGATTGCCAAGACGTCCGACGGCCTTTTTTGATTTGCTAGTTGTCTTTTTTATGAATTGCTTGGGTCGTGTTCCCATAACCCAAGCAAGGCACTACATAGGTGGTCAGACGTTAAAGCAATCTCGGACTACTGGGCGTGGAACATCCTTTCGTCAACCCAATGACTTTTTTATTGACAATGCTCTGAATGTGTGTATATAACCCTTGGAACGGAGTTCCATTCAGATTCGCCGTTTTGAAAAGAATATGTCTGTAGTAATTAATTCGATGCTTTTATCATGGCTCAACAAAGGAGTTCTAGCTTTTTACGTGGTTAATGTTAACAAAGGAATCAATTTCGTTACAAAAGTTTCACTGTTATTGCAACTGTTTACAACTACAACATTTAAGCAGCTTGGAACAAAATTTATTAAAATAAGAAAGGAAAAAAAATAAGTCTGTATTGTAGATCGTATCTTCTGCTATAATATACTCGAACAAGCTTCACTTGCCTACAAAGTAGAAAAAAGGATTATGGTGTGTAATCACAAAAAGCTCATACAAACAAATGCATGAAAAATAATTATTGCTCCAAGAACGAAAACTATTTAGCTATGTGTGCTTTAAAAATAGTTGATATCAAATCATCCTCACCATTACTAGTATTGTAAAAGTTGCTTTGATTCGTTGACTTTTAATCAAGAAAATGTAATTTTTAACTCCTTCTAATACCAAAGTTAACTTTTTCACTTAATTACATACAGTCCATGTGTCTCAAAATATTTGACATCGGTGCTTCTTCAACATGGATTTACATACGACGAATAAATCGTTTCAGACGTTTTCATCGAAATACCAACCTAGTCGTAAAAATCATGTGATAATATCTTAATCAATTAAATTTTGAGCAGGATCTGCTTAACCTTCCGAAGTACCTGAGATCACCCCGGTTTATTGTGGGGTTTGTGTTGCTCAGTCTTTGGTTTTCCATGTTTTGATTTGTGTACTATTGTTTGTCGTTTGGTCGTTTTTTTGCCATGGTTTCGACTTATGAGTTTAAATATTCCTTTGGTATCTTTCGCCTCTCTTTTATACTATTTGAGGGAAAGGCATACACATGTTGTTATGTTTCAATTGTAACCAATCTCCATGGCTGTTCTTCCAAAATTATACTAAGGAAAAAACTAAAATTACCAAGTTAGTGTAGTTGTATACGCTTGCTGCATGGAATAAAGGAGACATTATTCGGATAATGCATATGAAATAATGCTAACTTACCAAAATATTTCTGTAAAGTTCTGACCTCTCTTTCCACTTCTTGAAGAGACAGCATATCCTCAGCCATATCCTTCTTGATAATACCCAATTCTTTGTCTGCATTAAAATGAGTTACAACTAAATATAAGTTTAAAATGTATGATACAGACAAATTTAATTCAAATACGAAAGAGAGAGAGAGAGGGATTGCGAAATTGTAAATTAGAATTCGAAAATCAGACACTAATGATAGAACGCAAAACGAGTCCCAAATATCTGGTGATACGGGCATTTCAAACTACGGCATTCGATAGAAAATTGAGCTGACCAAACTGTTTGATATGTTGTTAATTTATTCTATAATTGTTTGTTTTTGTATCTTAAATATTTGAGCATTTCTAAAACCTCTTTCTTTAATTTAGCAAGTGCTATTACCTACAAATCCTTTAGCCATGGTGAGCTGAATTTTAATGTCTGAAGTTTTCCGTCCATTTAAGTAACCAATGTTGAATCGGCTAATGAAAGCAAATTCTTTAGCCCAGTTTTTTTTTATTGAATGGAAATCTTGTCTAAGGTTGTCATATTCATCTGGTTTTGAAACAATTGATTCTGTCCTTTTATATCTAGTATGCAATTGTTTTGATTTTGGTTCTATTATGGAAAATAGGTTTGCAATGTCTGAAATAAATAAGAAAGGAATATCATTTAAAAAAAATTCACAGCATTCTCCATCGAGAGTGAAAATAATAAATTCTATAAGTTTTGTCCTACAAATCACACGGTTAAACCATGATACCATTAAACTTTTTTTCGGCTGTTATTGTATTCGTATTATTGGATGCTAACGTGAACTAAAACACAGATAGATGTAAAACAATACGAAATAAAACCACACCAAAGAATGATCTCAGTGATTTTTTTAAAGAAAACCCAAAGTACCCAATCTGCTGGTCATCATCTCACACTGTAAAATCGACCGGTACTAGTTATCAAACAGAAAAGTTCTGATTTACATTTATTTTTCACAATTATGATACATCAAATCCTACAATTTCGTTGGTTAAGAACACTTTGCTATATTCTAATTGAAGATTATCAATCGGATTTATCGGAAGACTATTGGATTAAATGTATGTACCTTTTTTAAAATGTGAAATATTCATTACTCGTGCTTGTCCTTGTCTGCATTGGCCGAGAATGTTTTCGACTTCTGAAAGATCAAAGATGAATCAAAGCAAGAGCAAGAAAGACTCTGGTTATTTAACATACAAATAGTTATCAAATAATTATTTCTATATGGGACATACAAAAAAAAAAATAAGATGGAATTATATATCATATAGACAATGCTAAATGTAAACTCGGAAGCTAGCAATCATTCATCATGCTTACTTAATATTGTCAAAGACATGTTAAAAAAGTTAATTCGGTATAGGATATCCTAGGGGAAAAATCTAGTGTCCATCTCTTCAATTTTCTTTATAATAAATTCTTTATTATTTAATTTATTTTTCGTGTGAAAGGTACATCGGCGCATTCATATTTTATGTGAGTTAATTTTGGATTTGTATCTTTAGTGAACTTTAATAAACCTTTATGATCTACAAAGTACTTATATTATTAAGAAAATAAGGTTCCAACTCCCTGTCAAAGTTGACCTTAGTCGTATTTTGTTATTTTTTTTTTAGTTTCGTCATGATCATAATTCATATACCTCCTCAAGTATTAAAGTATTTGGCATTCAACATGTTTCGGGTTTGAGCGTTCTTAATGAAGGTTAATCCTGAAAAGCGCTTCGTATGCGCCAAATTGTGTTATTTTCATATAAAATTTTAGTTTACTATATTTGAACAATATAAAATTATCTGTCAATTTCGATAGGTTGTTCTATATTAAAATACATAAATAATATAAAAAGCAGGAACCTGTAATTAAGTGCAGTTAGTCTTTTGTTTTATTATTTTGTACAGTTTGTTCGCACCACTGTCCCAAGTTAAGTAGAGGGTTATGCGCCCCAAACATGTTAAACCCACCAGATTTTTATGTGCCTGTCCCAAGTCAGGAGCCTGTAATTCAGTGGTTGTCGTTTGTTGCTTTATATCATATTTTTTTTTAGTTTATTGTTTTGTACATAAATCGGTAGTTAGCTTTTTCGTTTGAATTGTTTTACATTTTTCATGTAGGGGCCTTTTATAACTTGCTATGCGGTATGGGTTTTGCCCATTTTTGAAAACCGCAAGGTGACCTATAGTTGTTAATTTCTATGTCATTTGGTCTCTGTTGGAACGTGGTCTCATTGGCAATCATACCACATCTTCTTATTTCTTTAAAGTTTATATATCATGTTTCCTAGCGAACGAATTAAGAAGCTACAAAGTGGTCAATAAATAACTATGAACACTTGGGCCTAAGGAAAAAAGATATGCAATGTTCTACAATAGAACCACAGTACTGTGCTCTGGTTTAGTAAAAAATCACTGTTTCACCAGTGGCATTCTAGAATGTATTCATCTTCAGTACCCCTTTGATTTATTACGCAAAGTTATAACTCAGTTACATGATTTTGGTTTGCCCATTGAAATCAATCTAAGAGAAAGATTAATTAGAATAAAATATAATATAATACCTTTCTCTGAAGCCCTCTGAAGAACCAACTGGTGGAGAATAAATAGCAAAATAACGGCAATTACAAATATTTGAGATTGAACTGTTGAAACATTTGTCCATGTGATATCGGCTGTAACTCTTTGAAACTGAAAGAAAAATATTTAAACATTTTAAAAGAGGCTTTCGATGTGCATCTATATATGCTTGTTGGAATTGGGAACCAATATTTCCATAGTTTTCTTGGTGCAATGATAATTTAGCAATTTTAAGTTTTATATATAAATGTGCAGTTATTTAAAGTAAGACATAATCACACACCTCGCGCACTCAAAACAAAGAAAAGTACTTACCTCACTGGAAATAAACTCATAGTTGAATAGTTTGGATATGATTGCGAAATCCATTCTACAAGAAAAGAATCACCAATTAAATCGGCGTTAATAATTATAACAACGTTTTATAACGCGTTTATTTTTATTTAAAAAGGCTCTCTTTTATGACATAAGTTACTAAACAGAAGCATTAATATAAGAAAAACAGAATGAAGTAAATAAATAAAGCATACCAAATTTGAAACTAGTATTTACATGTATCTATACTTTAAGAGAGTACTTGTTGTTGAAGACAAAAAAGAAACATCTCCAAAACATGGTCATATATCAATCAATAGACCAGCAGTTTAACAGCAGTCAATACTTTGCTTTTAAGTATTTGTCTGGATTTCGAATTAACTGTTAACAGCACATTTAAGCAACAATTACAAAAACCATACCTTAAATCATAAGAATTACAAAACATAATTATGATAACATTCATTAACAAAAGTACGCCTTCCATGCTGGCAGCGGTCAGTCGTTACTATGTAGAGCGAAACACTGTGTAACGTCACAAAACGTTGGAACTATTTCCGGTGAACAACGTTTCTAACGCTGAGTGCAAACAAAAATACAATCTTTATGTTGTTGTATTACACAATAATGATACAAAAAATTCCTGTATTTTACCTTGTAGTAGGAGGTTTCCGGGACCTTTTGTACCTTTATAAGTGATTTAGAGATTTAGATTAACAATTAAGAGTTCAATCTTTGCGCATTATCTTCATCGTTTACGCTCTATGTTAATATGATTTTCTGTGCTATTCATAAAGGCAATAGTAAGCTTTATATACCGAAAAGACGACATATACCAAATATCAATCATACATAAACTACCTGGAATCCATGCAAAAAAATCATAAAATGGAAAAAAAGGTTTAAAAAAAGGCTCTTGTCGGTAAATTGTTGTTCTGTTTATACTCTTGTTTGTTTTGTCATCGTTTTTTTGTCATGATTTTGTCGGACTTTCGACGACTTATGGGCTTTCTTATTCTCGCTTTTGCATCGTCTGTCCCCTTTTTTCGACGATTCTTTTTTGGAAATACTACAATGGCATCTTTCGAAAGGTCGTCGTTCAGAGTCAACATAACCTTTTATGTGAAAATTGTATCAACTCAGAAACAATAACATATAGATGAAGTAAAGTAATCTGTAAAAAATATTTCGAGCATTAAGTCACAAGATTGTTTTTTTATTTTATCAAATGTAGGTCCAGTTCCTCCAATTCTTTGGTTACAGTCTTATTTTGCCTTTATTCCGAAAATATAAGTTGTAGAACTCATCAAAGTGCGGCGAAATCTTCGTTTTAAGGGAAAATGTCCCAATTCACCCCTCTGTCATTGATATTTTTATGATAACCTTCCTCATAAAAAAACTACCAGTTTCTTGCCGAAGGTCGGTGGTTTTTTTTTTGTACTCCGGCTTCCGCCACCAATAAAAACAATGATATAGCTAAGAGTGCATGCCGAAACAAATATGTGAACAACTACATATAACCGTACGGTCTTTAACAAAGAGCAAAACTCATACCGTATATATAGTAAGCTACAAAAGGACCCGATATATCAATGTGTGAAACAATTCAAAAGAGAAAACCAATGGCCGGATTTATACTACAACAATGGATGAAAAACAAATATGACAGACAGAAACCAAAGACAACCATTGTATTACAGGATTCCTGGCTTAGGACATGTGACGGGATGAAAGATATCTATGGTGATAGTTGAACTGCAAATATTATAAGAAAACAACTAAAATAGTTTCTAGATTTCCCTTTAGACAATTTTATCCAGAGTGACACTTTGGTTTGAAAATTTATGTGCTTGGGCAACTGTATAATTTTTCGGACTTTGTGTCACCAAAAACATATCGCTTTTTTCAACACCCCCCTCCCACAAAAAAAATCATACACACACACAAATTAAAAAAAAAACACACAAAAACAAACAAAACCTTATAAGGAAGGGAGCTAAATTACAATTCTTTCTATCATAAGCAAATTTGCGATATTTGAAAAATAAATCATATCTATAACCTTTAAATTTTTGTATTTAATTTCTAGTTTTTAATAGCATATTCACAGTTTTTTTTTTAAAATAAATAACGGTATCCGAAACAAGGGGCGGATCCAGGATTTTTTAAAAAGGGGGGGGAGATGGGGTGGCGTAAATCCTTAAAAAATGTTTGGTCGATTTTATGCTTAAGAATCATATAAAACATTGCGGGTGTCTTGCAGGAAGCACCCCATGCTTACCCTTCCAAAGCATCTGATGTGGCCCAAGATTTTACGGGGTCCTTATAACTGTTTCTCATTTGTTTTCAGTTTTTAGTGTTGAGTGTATATTGTTTCTCATTGTGTATCTTTCTTGTCCCCCGGTTTGTTTTTGTCCATTGATTTCCCTTCTTCTTGGCAACTGTTGTCAACTCTTCCTTTTATATTAGCTATGAAAGACCCTGACATGACATGAGAGTATCTTCTTATGTTGTGTTGTAACACGAATTAATGTTTCAGATTAAGGGAATGGTCGAACGATCGCAAACATTGTTTACCCTGCCACATTCTTTTTGACCCTGTCCCAAGTCAGTAGTTCAGTGGTTGTCGTATAATGCAGTATGTTGCAGTATGTCAGTTTTGTTTTTTGTTTATCGTTTTATCATAAATAAGGCAGTTGTTTTGTTTAGTTTGAATGAATTATTTTACATTTTGGTATGTTGGGACCTTTTATAGCTCACTATACAGGTATTGATTTTGCTTATGGTTGAAGGTCATGTAATGACCTAAAGTTGATAGAACATCCACGCCATTTGGTTTCTTGTGGATATTTGTCTCATTGACAATCATACCAAATCTTGTTATTTTTATATCAGATTGTTTTGGCAATCACTAAAAGTGTCCGTTACCCAACTTACGAATCAAGATTTACCGAGACGCTCTTGCTTAGCCTTCTCTGTATTTCTCCAAAATATTATTTTTGCTTTTGAAAGTTAAAAAGGCAACAAAATATACTAGTAGTTCGAATAGGTTTTATCGTTAAAAGTTTAATATGAAGTACTAAGATCAGTTGATTTTTAATGAGATTTCGGGTTACTTTTAACTAGTGTCGATTTCATAAAGGAAGTATAAACTCGAATTCAATCATTCTCGTTTGCAACATAACCAGACGCTTTCATTTGGATTTAAAGGCGATTTACTGGGAATAATTTTAACATACAAATTTCTTAAAAATGTTACCAGCTAGAATGTCGGGTTTGTATGACCGATCCCCTACGTACAGGCAATAAGTAACGGATATGCATTTGTGTGTGTTTCGGTATTGGAAATACTATATTTAAAAAAGAAATTAATTATATTTATTATGTAATACTTGATTTATAACTTTATTTCACATTACTTAAAAACTTAATAACGTTGTCAGCACCAGTTGATAGACAATGAAGCTTGTAACACAGATTAAAACAAACACCTGTTCAACTGATTTTTATAGTTTTTTCTTATGTTGTACTGTTACACCAATGTCCAAGGTTAGGGGAGGGTTGGCGCCCCCGCCACATTCTTTATGTGCCTGTCCCAAGTCAGGAGCCTGTAGTTTAGTGGATATCGTTGGTTCATGTCTGTCGTATTTGTCGTTAATTATTTTATTATAAATTAGGCTGTTAGTTTTCTCAATTGAATTGTTTCATATTTTTCATGTCGTGGTCTTTTAAAGCAGACTATAGGGTATGGGGTTTTCACATTGTTGAAGGCCGTACGGTTGCATTCATTTGAACTTTGGTGGATAATTGTCTCATTGGCAATCATAGATATAGATATATCGAGAATTTTATCACGGTTTTGTTTACAAAGCGAAAGAAGCACGTCATATTAGAATTTCAAATAAATTTATGTGGAGACCTCATAAAACCTGGTATAAGTGTTTTTCTAATATTTATGTTTTCTTGAGCGGCATTATTCTACTATCAACTGTCGCCACGTTGTCTTCCTGTAGTTTACGTTCCGCCTTTAATATCCGTGTTCACATTAATTGTTAAAAAGGTTGTGTCTAATTCTCTTATTCTTGTAAAGGCGGAAGTTAATACGCACGTAAAACTGGTTTAACCCTCACCACATTGTGTGCCTATACAAAATCAGGCTATCTTGTTCATGTGTTGTTTGTTTCTAATTGTTTTTAGTATGAGTCTTTTTTTTCTCCGAGAAAACGCGTGTTTGCGATTATTGTGGTCTTTTGTGTTGTAAAATTTTTGTTACATATGTATTATCAAAGAATAATTTTTAAACTAACTTATGACGCTTTGTTGTACGTTTCACAAGTTCAGAATATATGTTGGAAATGATTCAATATCTTTATCGCTGTTTTCAATCCAAGAAGTTGATGGAAGTGAAAAGATTCCATTTCACAAATAAGACAAAAAACAAATAGAAAAAATAAAAATAAAAAACTAATTCTTGGGCCGAAAACAACAACTTTATAAGCGTTTCAAGATGTATGATGATAGAATAAAATTTAAATATTTAAGCAAATCGAAACGAAGATTATTTTCTGAGGAATGTCTACAACTTTTCTGTTTTTATATCTTGTTCAAGATTGAAGTTTAAGTCATTTTCCATTTATATCAAATTTATTCTAAGCGCTTTTCTATGTTTAACTTCATCAGGAACGCTCAAAGCCGAAAATTTAAAAGCCAAGGATGTATAAGAACCGAAACAGTTGAAGCGATATATGACCATATAGGACCTACAAATAATAGCCAAATCCATCTAAGGTCAACTTTGCATAAGCAAGTTGAAATCTTGGTATATTGACAATTTATAAATTTATAAGATTGAAGAGAAAAGAATCCATCTCACAAAAAAAAAAAAAAAAAAAAAAAAAAAAAAAAAAAATAGAATAACTGAAAACGAAAATAATGACAAGTTCTAGGGCCGAAAACAACTACCTCATATGAGCAAGTCAAGATGTATTATTATAGAATTCTTCAATGAAACTCTTATTTTTCTGTTCTTAAGTCATTTTCAAGCTTAAGTCATTT